ACTTTGATTTTAAAAAAATTCTTATTTAATTCTAACTTTAATGTTCCATTTTAATTCTAATTTTTTACGTTCTGTTTGTATTCTGATTTTTGCATGTTCAAATTTAATTCTGATTTTCATGTTTAAATTTAATTCTGTTTATTTAAAAGGCATCCTTCGATTCTGGTTCTTATTCTTACCAAAATACCTTACCTACAAATAATCGACAACCAGAAATTCAAGAAGAGGATGATGGAGAATTTGAACTTCAAAATTTGTCATCATCGAATCCCTTTAATAAAAAACAAAATGCAAGTGATGATAAATTGGCAGATTATGGAGAAATTGGACATTCTAATGGAACTAAATCAATTACATCATTACAGGCAGCTTGGTTTGAAATTTTTTTAGAATTTTATTTTTAATAAAAAAATATTTTTTAAGGAATGTTACAAACGCAATTCAAGGTTGAAAAATATTGTCATATAAAATTTTATTTTAAGAATAAATTTATATATTTTTTAGGCATGTTTATTGTTGGGTTGCCCTTTGCTGTTAAAGGTATCCTTAATTCTTTGTTTTTCTAAAATAATTTTTTGATTAGTTGGAGGATGGTGTGCAATTGGTGCATTGGTCTGTTTTGGATTTCACGATGTTAAATTTTTAAAAAATAATTTAATTAGGTTGGTGTTGCTTGGATATGTTACAAAACTGGACTAGCACTTATTGAGTGTCTTTATGAAGAAGAATCTAATAGTAGTGGCCGTAAGAGAATTCATCGAAGGCAAGAAAATTTTTTGAAAAAAAAAATTATTTAAAAATTATTTTAAAGTTATCGTGAAGTTGCTGAAGCAGTTCGTCCGGGAATGGGAAAATTTGTATTGTTGGCTCAATTGGTAAAAAATTTTTGTAATTTTTTAAAATAATTATTTTCCTCTTTTTACAGACTGAATTAGCCAGCACGTGAATTTAAAATTTAATAAAATTACAAAAAAAAATTTAATATTTTTAAAGATGTATTTTATATATTGTTCTGGCAGGCGATTTACTTCAAGGATGTTTTCCAAGTGTTGGTAAATTTTTAGATTTTTCTACGAAAAATTTTTTTTTATTTATTTTTAAAGATAGACAAGCTTGGATGATGTTAACTACATTACCTTTACTTGGCACTGCTTTTCTTGATGATTTACGAGTTGTTTCAAATTTGTCACTTGCAAATGCGGTTTCTCATTTAGTCATTAATGCAATAATGGTTAATTAATTTTTTGGATTTATTTTTTAATGAAATTTTTTAGGTTCTTTTTTGCCTCAGTCAGGTATGCCTATATCCTTTTAAATTTTTAAATTTTTATTTTTTCTTAAATTTAATTTATAGTTTTCTTCATGGCGTTTTTCTTCCCTTGTATTAATCCCGGATTTTCGCTTATTTCCAACAATTATCGGTGTTGTTGTTTTTGGTTATACTTCACATATTTTTCTGCCTTCTTTGGAAGGTTCTATGCAGGTTTTTACTTTTTTTCGAAAATTCTTAAAAAAATTTTTTTTCAAAGGATCGTTCAGAATTTAAACAAATGCTCGGATTTTCACATGTCGCGGTAAATTTATTTATAAAATTAAAAAAAAATTTTAATTTAAAGGCAGCAATATTTAAAGCTTTATTTGGTTTAATTGGCTTTCTAACTTTTGCAGAATTTACTCAAAAAGAAATTTCTAATTCGCTTCCTGATCAAACATTTAAAGTTTGTATTTTTAATTTTTGACAAAAAAAATTTTTTAATCTTTTTAAAGGTTCTTGTAAATCTTTGTCTTGTTACAAAAGCTTTGCTTTCTTATCCACTTCCTTACTACGCAATTGTTCAACTAATTGGAGAAAACTTTTTTAATGGGATTGATGTTTCTCCTTTTCCTGTATGCTATGGAAATGATAAAAGATTGAGAGAATGGGGTAAAATTTAAGTTTTAAATAATTACCTTAACTTTCTAATCGAGGCCCGGGCGTTTATTTTTCAATGGGTATCATTGATTGGGCTTTTAATAATTTTATTGAAGCCGGGATTCTCTCTTTAAAAAATAAATCTTTTTTTGAAGCTCTCTCTTTGCGTGTTCTTTTAATACTTTGGACATTATGGATGGCTTTAACTGTTCCTTATCTTGTTGAGGTTTTTTTAATTCTTTATTTTTTTTTTGCAATTTTATATTTTTTAAAGCTAATGGGACTTATTGGCAATTTTACAGGGTAGGTTGATAAAAAAAAGTCTTAAACGTTCATTGGGGAGAAAAGCTGGGTTATGATTTTTTTTCAGAATTTTTTGTATTTTTAAATACTTTTAAATTTTAGAACTGTTCTAAGTTTTATTTGGCCAGCATATTTTCATTTGCAGCTTCGAGGAGCTAAACTTACTCCTGCTGAGAGAAGATTCGACAAAATGGTATTTTTTTTTAATTTCCTTTGCCTGAGGTTTCCTTTTTTATTTTATATTTCTTAAACTAAAATGTTCTTAAAAAAGGTAATTGCTGGAGGCGTCGGCACTTGCATTATTGGAATGTTTTATTCTGCCATTGAGCTAATTCATTCTATTCGTATGGGTGATGATGATGTTGTTGAAGGAGGAGGATGGGAATGACTGATGAAAAATTAAAGAATAACTATTCGGGAAAAGTTTCTAAAGGTTTTTTTTTAATTTTTTTAAACTCATCCCCTCTCTGTCTCTCGTGTATATGAGGAACAAGCTCTTACGTAAATGGGTTTTTCTTCTTAATATAAAATGGGGATTTATTTAATTCTTATAGGCATCTTAACATTAATATATTCTCTATCTCTTTTTTATGTTAGCCAGCTCTTAATTCACTTTTATAGTTTTTTTTCCTTTTTTGGCGGTAGTGTTCAAGCTGTTGTTTGTTTCTATTCTCTATTTTCTATCGCTTTTAAATATTTTCCTTTTTTTCATAAAAAGGTTTTTAGTTTTTTGCTTTTATTGAGAATTAGAATTGAGATTTCTCTCTTTTATTTACAGATTTTCCCAACTTTTTTTAGTGTGAAATTCTGATAATATTTTGTGGGGATTTTTTCTTCTATAATTTCTTTTCTCTTTGGTCTTTTTGTTTTAGGCGCTACTAACTAATTTTAACTGACGACTACCAATTTTCTAAAATATATTTATTTCTTTTATTCATTGCCTCCTTTTCTCTTTTTTTCGGTTATATATTTTCGTCATTGCCCTAAATAAGTAGTGTCGATGGTGAAAATGAGGAAAAAGGCGGAAGTAGTTTGTACGTGTGTTTTATGCCGATTGTGAAAAATTTGGAACAGGATAAAATAGTAGAAGAAACAAAAAAAAGGCAAGTGTTTTATATCTTATATAAAATACCGCAAATGAAAAAAAAGTAGAGTTTTGAGCAAGTGCACAGACACAAAAGATGAAAAATGCGTGCGATAGGTGGGGGAGGGTAACAAATGCACACTAGTTTTCATCGCCACTATTTTTCTCCCAACGCCAATAAGGTCAAAATTGGATAGGTTGTCAATGTCAGAAAATTTTTCTCGAAAAAATTTTCTTAAAAAATTTTTTTCTCAATAAGAATTGTTCTACTTTATCTTAAAAATAGGTAAGTTCTTCTGTCTTCTAAAAATTTTCTTGTAATTTTTTTTACTATTTGTCCTGTTTTCTTGTTTGTATAGAGACATTCTGTCCCACTTTTCTTACTGACAAGCCAACATTTTATCCCATTTTTGCCTACATGGACATTTTGTTCTCTTTTTTTCCTTCTCATTGAAATTGCATCCAATCATTGCCTTTCTTCTTTCTTCCATTTGTCATGGTGGTTGAAGAAAAGGAAAAAAAAGATTGTTGGGTGATGGTTATGTTGTTTAGTGCACACACTTATTGTTTGGGTTATATAAGTAGAAAAATGCAGAAAAAAGAGAAAAAATTGGCCTGGGCCAGCAACACACACAGACGACAAAATATAACTTGTGTAGGGAGGGGGGAAAATGAAGAAGAAGAAGAATAAAAGAAGAAGAAAAAGGATGAATATATATGAAGAAAGGACACAAAAAAAGGAGAATATTTTTGGTTTTATATAGAGAGAAAAGCAAAGGCGAATAGCGAATTAGTAGATGAGTAGCACATTTTTGTCACTCTTACCACCCCAAAACCACCCATTTTTATTATTTTTCCTCCTCACTTTTCATTTGCTTTTTGAATGAAGAGAGAGATAGGAGAAGTAGCAGCAAATAGTTTATATATTATTTTATTATATTCACAGTGGGAAGGAAAGGCGTAAATGTTTTGGAGAAAATAAAAAAAATTTTTTTGGAAAATTTTTTAATTTTTTTTTTCGAGCCTATAAGACAATTTATCCCAGTTTTTTTAAAGAAAAAAATTTTCTGATAATTTTTTAAATTTTTTTCTTAACAATTTTTAAAGATTTTCCTGACAGTTTTTAAAATGATTTTTCGAAATTAGTATTTAGTCTTTTCTCACCATTGATTTTTTTTTAGAAAAATTTTAAAACACAATTTTAAGTCTTTTCACCATGTACATGTTATTAAATATTTTTAATAAAATTTTTAATTTTTTAAAAACAATTTTAGATTATATCATTGTAATTTTCATAAAAAATATTTTTTATATTGACTAATTGAAATTTAAAAAGAAGCAAAAAAGATGGATGTTGATGGTGCTGCGCAGGATGAAATGGTTTATTTAAAATTATTTTAAATGTCTTTAACTTGAAAGCCTGGGGGTGATATGCCCCCCGTAATGCAAAAAAAACACAAATACTGAACCTACAAAACCTTCCCAATAAAAAAGGGATAGGCAGCTTCTTGTGGTTTTGTGTTTTGGCGTTGGTGTTACGTTGCCTGGGACCTCAATTTTAAAAGAGATTTTAATTTTCCTCTCGTTTAGGTCACAGATGGTCCAGGATACAATATTGTCGCTCCAAACAATAATTGTCAATCTGGAAGTATGGGAGGACACAATAATGTTGTTGGGTCTTCACAATATCAGCAACGTTCAATGTCACCACTTCTCGGTATTGGAATAGCTACTGGATCCTCATCAGCATCTTCAACAATGCCAATGGACCTGGGTGGAGTATTGCCTATTGCAGAAAATTGGTGTAATACACAAGTGAAAGTTGTTAAATTTAACTACATGTGGACGGTTATTTTTTAAAAATTTTTTTTGGAAAATAATTTTTAATTTTTTTTAGATAAATAATTTCTCTTTTTGCCGTGAAGAAATGGGTGAAGTTTTGAAATCATCGACTTTTAGGTTTGTTTTTCTTCTCGGAAATTTATTCTTCCCTGACTACCTTCGCCATTCCTCAGTTTATTTAAATTTTTCTTTTTTCAGTGCCGGCCCTAATGACAAACTTAAATGGTGTTTACGAATAAATCCAAAAGGATTAGACGAAGAATCCAAAGATTATTTGTCTCTTTATTTATTACTTGTCCAATGTAACAAAACTGAAGTTCGTGCAAAATTTAAATTTTCGATATTAAACGCAAAAAGAGAAGAAACAAAAGCTATGGGTATGTTTGATTTGTAAATGATTTTATGACTTAAATACTTTTAAGAATCACAACGTGCCTATCGCTTTGTACAAGGAAAAGACTGGGGTTTTAAAAAATTTATTCGTCGTGATTTTTTACTTGATGAACAAAATGGACTTTTACCTGAAGACCGTTTGACTATTTTTTGTGAAGTTTCTGTTGTTGCTGATACGGTTTCTTTTTTAAAAAATTGTTATTTAAAAATTTTTTTGAAAATTTTTAGATTAATGTAACCGGTCAAAGTAACATGATGCAATTTCGTGTTCCTCCATGTCGTCTTTCTGAAGATATGAGTAATTTATTTGAAAAAAGTTTATTTGCTGATTGTACTCTTTACTCAGGGAATAGAGAATTTCAGGTTTTTTTTAAATTTTTAAAAATAAAATTGACATTAAATTTTAGGTACATAAAGCTGTACTTGCTTGTCGTTCACCTGTATTTGCTGCAATGTTTGAACATGGAATGGCTGAATCTTTAAGTGATCGTGTAAATATTAAAGATATTGATTCTGAAGTGCTCGGTGAAATGTTGAGATTTATGTAAGAATTTTTTAAATTAAAAATCGTGAAAAAATTTTCTAGCGAGAAAAGGGTGTAAGAGGCATTTGTAATTTTGATTTTATCAAAAATTAGTTTTATTTGCGTTGGTGGGAATCGAACCTTTAACGAACCAATATGTATTAATGTCTAGGTGTTTTCCCACTACACCATAATGGTTAAAAACATTTCACTGGGGATAGACTTGTGTGTTTAATTTCTTGTGGGTAGAAGGTTTCCCGTTTATTGTTAGTAATGTGTTCTTGTTTAACCTAAACAATAATAGACGAAACATAAAATTTGAAAAAAATTTTTTTTAACAAAATAGGTATACCGGAAGTGCCCCAAATCTTGAAAGAATGGCTGATGAATTGTTAGCAGCTGCTGACAAATATCAATTGGAAAGATTAAAAGTTATGTGTGAACAATCTTTATGTCTTTCATTGACAAATGAAACTGCTTGTGAAACTTTAATTTTGGCGGATTTACATTCAGCAGAACATTTAAAAACACAATCAACAGAATTCATTAATTTACATGCTAATGAGGTCTTTTTTATAATTTGGTTTTGGTCTAGTTTATGAGTCCATTGAAAAATTATGGGTCCTATGGAGGTGGTCTGTCTTGAATCCCAGACTTCGGGGTACAAACTTTTGCCTATACCTGTTTTTATTGGACTCATAAAGGTTCATTGGACGCATAAACTTGACCAGATCCAACTTTTTAATTATTAAACAAATTTAAAAATTTTTTTGAAGGTAATGGAAACTGAAGGTTGGAAAGTTTTGGTAAAAGAACATCCTCCATTACTCGAACAAGTTTTTAAAGCATTAGCAACACAGGTTTTTTTACTTTTTTGATTTTAGAAATAATTCTTTATTTTTTAAAGCAAACACCTCCGATTATATTAAATCAACCGCCTAGGAAACGTCCAAGACAATATTAAAAAAAATTTTGCTATAACAACAACAAAAAATTTTTTTGACTATTAATATGTATTTTTAAGTTGTTTAAAGTGAAGACATATTGGAAGAAAAGAAAAGAAGTTAAATCACTTTGCAGCTGTTTTTTGTGATTATAAATATATTTACTGTTAGGTTTGGATTTGTTTTTGATTTTTTTGTTTTAATTTGAGAATAGAGTTGGCGGTTCCTGGGAAATCTTGGGGTATCCTAAACCCCATGTCCGAACTGAAATTTTTTGGATACCAAGACCAACCTTATTTGAGAATTTTTAAAAAATCCAAACTTTGCTGTTTTGATTGTCTTTTTTCCAAATTTTGTAAATATATCTTTTTTCTTTCTTAAATGCATGATGCAATTATTGGGTATATATGTATTGGATAAATATTTTAATATTTTTGTTAATTTTTAATTATAAATCTGGTAAATTTATAACCATTCAATAATTTATAACTCTCTAAGAACTTGTCTTTTTGAATTTTTTAGAATTTCTTTAGAAGACGGAGAGGATTCTTCTTTTAATGTTCTGTCAGAATCAATAATTGAACCAGATGTTTGTGAGGAGCTTTTGGAATTTTGTGCACCAACAATCTCTACTGGAACAGATGAATCTGTGCTTACTGAAGAAGAGCCAACACCTTTTGGAATGGGATGAAAGTTTGTTTTTTTAATTTTAAAGTTCAATAATGAGGCGAGAGGGGTTTTTTGAGCATGTAGTCGAGCTTATATTTAATAAAAAATTATTTTACACCAACCGGGTTCGAACCCTTGACCTTGTGTATAGGAAATTTTAAACTTTTCCCACTACACCAAAGGGGACTTTGTCTTTAATATTGTTTTATTCCTCACCCCCAGAAATTGAAGAACTTCTTTTACTACTTTTCTTTGTTGTTATACTACTTTCAGTTTTTGTTTTTGTTGTTGAACTTTCAGTATTTTGTTTACTAGTAACAGTAGAAGTACTTTCTTCTTCATCAGATATTTTATTTTTTGTTGTTGTATTTGTTGAGGATGATTTTGTGGAAGATTTTGAGGATTTAGAAGATGAGGAAGAATTTTTAATTGAAGATAATATAGAAGCAGCATCAATGACTAGATTTTTACTATTAGATTTTGTTGAAGAAGATGTTGTCGATGATTTTTTTGAAGAACTTTTTGAATTACTGCGTATATTTTCTTCAGGTATTTTTTGTTGCCTAATTTGTGGTGAAGATTTGGTTGAAGATTTTGGGGGTGAATTTTGGTTTTCCTTATGAATTTTAGTTGAATAATTATTTAAATTAAGAATCTCTTCTTTAATTAATTCTTCCTTCATTCTTCTTTTTTCTATTTTTAAATCTTTGTTATTTTCTTTTACCTTCAATCTTCTTCCAATAATTAAATTTCTTTCATTATTTCCTTCTTCTGATGAGTTTGGACTACTAAAAGCTATAGATTGTAATCCAGATGATGGAAGGGATTCTTCAACTTTTTTATTAATTTTTGGTTGTTTTTGAATACTTTTTAAATTTAAGTTTATTGTTGTTTGAAGTTTATTTTTGTTAATTTTCTTCTTTTCATCTCCTCTTCTTTCAAAATTCAAAACCTTTTTATCTTCAACTATTGTTTTGTGTACAGAAGAAAGATAGGCTATTTGAGCTCGAAAATGTCCTCGTTTAATTTTATTAATCTTTATTAATTTATTAAATAAATTATCGCTATAAGGTGGTAAAGAACATTCGGTATTTGTTGTTTTGGATATTTTTTGAAGGTTTTTATTTTCTAAAATTGGGAGGGGTTTTTTAAAATTTTTTTCAAAAATACCAATATTTTTTTCATTTTCATTCTTTGCTTTTAATAAGAGAATTAGGAGTAGCTTAATTAATTTTTTATCTTTTTGCCGTTGTTTAAGAATTGTTTTTTGATGTTCTGTTTGTTGAAGGGTTGTTGCTGTTGTTTGTTGAATTGTTGTTTCGGGTACCTAGTAAATTTTTTGCAAAATTGGGTTTAAGGACTCATACTCCTTTATGTTCTATATAGTATATCATTCGAAAGAGCTCGTTGAATGACACCAAAATTAGCCCACGGTCTCAAATATGGGCCTGGATACATACCCCCCGTAGATCTTGCCCGAAAATTCTCAAACCTAATTTTTCAACAAATCTTTTAATTAAAAATTTGAGTTTACTAATTCTTTATTTGTTTGAGTTCCACGTTCAATTACTCCATTATTTAAATAATCTGTTTGTGCTTCCTTTTCTATTGTTTTATTTTTCAAATTTTGTTTATCATTTTTCTTTTGTATTTCACTTATATTTAACAAAAAATGTGCTTCTAAAGTTAATCCGCCATTTTGTTGTTGTTGTTGTTGTTGTAATGAACAAATAATTGGAAGAATTTTCTTTAAAATTTTTTTATAAATATTTTTTAAGGATGAAAGTAAACCTCATTTTCTTTAATTAAAGAAATTCTTCCTTTCCAAATTTTCTGATTATCTCCACCACTTTTAGCTTCCAAATCTAGCCATATAGGTCCATCGTTTTGAGTTGTTGTTCCTCTAATAAAAAATAGATGGCCACTTCCAACACGTATTTGTCTTTGAGGATACAAAGGAATTGAAGAATTTGAAGATGAAGAAGGGGAGGAAGATGGCAAAAAGCGAACAAAAGTTGTTTTAACCCCTTCAAAATTAGATTCCCAAGGTGAAGATATTCGTTCAAATAAAAGTTGAATACAAAAAATTGGAGGGGAAAAGTTTTGAGAAATTGAGGAAGTAGTTGGATGATATGTCATCAAAATTTTCTAGAAAATTTCTAAGGAAGAACAAAAATGAATTAAAACTCAAAAATAAGTGGACAATAAACGAAGCAGATGGCAAAGTTTTACTTTTTTGTGGTTGTCATGGAAATTGGGAAAGGCGAAAAATAAAAAGAGCAGTTTGACCCTTTAAATTTTTAATTCAAATGGAGGATAAGCAATCCATTTTAATTTATTAAAAAGAAATTCAAGAAAAAATACAAGAAATTTTGCGAGGAAAAAAAGGATCATCTAATTTTATTTATCTTCAATCTTTTCTCATCAATACAAGAAGAGCAGCAGCAGTAGCAGGCAAGAGAGAAGTCGTTATTGTCATCCATCTATATTTATTCGAACAACTATTGCAGTTTCCATAGGGAATGGATCCATACTAAGAAACATGTCACCAGTTACCTTAAAAGGATTAAAAAAATTTTTTTTGAAAATTTTAAAAAATCAAAAAACTCACAGCATGCCTATGTGGAACATTTATGCTTCTTGCCGCTTCAATGGGCCCCCCTGCACCAGTAGGCTTCCTGATTCGAATACAACAACCGCAAACAAAGTAGCGGCCTTCTTCAGCATACTAAAAAAATAAAATTTTTTTTTGAAAAAATTTTTTTGAAATTTTCTGAAAAAAATTTTTTCCCAAAAAAACTCACCGAACATCTCCAATATTCATCAACCTTATCTGGTGACCTCTGTCTTTTGTTAATCTTCCATCTATGCTTTCTGTTATCCCACCAACGATCGAATGCTTCAACGTTGTCGAAGGTTCTAACAGTTACATATCGAGCTCTCTCCCTCATATTAAGTTGAGCCCTTTCAGCTGCACGAGTTCCACCACGAGTCCCTCTACCTGCTCGCCTCTCACGTTCTCTTCTATGACGTCGTAGCATTTGCTTAAAAATTTTTTTGAAAATTTTGATTAATAAAAAAATTTAAACGAAAAAAGTCCTTACAATGAGTTGTTTGAATCAAGGGAGAGAGTAGAACGTTGCCGTTGATGAGATTTATTGTAGTAAGTTGACGATCAATTTGATTGTTGTGTGTTGTATTAATGCTTTTATACTTTTAAATGTGGGGAATAAAAATGTGAAATGAATTTTGATTGTATTTACTTTTCATGGTATACTAGAAACCGGCTTCATTAGAAACCTTTCCAATAAAAGCTCTACATTTTGTAGAACTTTTTTGTATGTACCCATTGAAGATAGTAAATGCCCTGAGCTTTTGTAGAACATTTTCGATATTTTTCAAAAAAAATTTTTTTCAGGCTTAAAGCATCAATTTCCTGTTATATTCTATTGATCTAAATTGCTTGAATGCTCCTGGTGGTGTTGACGAACATTAAATTTACTACAAGGATGGTTTACTTGTATTACTTTCATGGACTTGGATTCTTTTATGGTCTTACAATTAGAAGGTAGATTTTATTTTTTATTTTTTTCTGGTAAATTACAAACATTTTTTCTCTCGTTTTTTCACATTTTTCTACATTAACCTCAAAATAAAAACAAGATATTTTTTATTAATTCCCTTTTTTTACTTAACAATATCAATTTCCAGTCAATTTACTTACCCTTTTACCCTCATATTTTCTTTTTATTTTTTTTCAATTCTAGTATTAAAAGGGGGTTCTTGAATAAATATTTTTATTGTATTATTTAAAATACAATAAATATTTATTTACCTTTTCTTTTTCTAATAAAACTTTTACAAAAAAGAATAGGGGAAAAAATTAGGAGAAAGTTGGTGTTTTTATTATTAATAAATTTTTTTTATTTTTTATTATTATCAATATACCCCCCTTCTTTCAATAACTTGTGTCAATATATAATGCAATAAAAACGATAAAAAAATATTTTTTAAAAAAGTTTGAAAAAATATTTTTCCGGGAAATTAGTAGTTGACAAGTTTAGTTGGTTGTTATTTTTTAAGAGATTAGTCAAAAAATGTTTGGGACACAATGTCATTTCATAAAAGAATTTTTGTTAATTTTTGGGACAAAATGTCATCTCATAAGAAAATTTTTTTAGAAATTAGTCAAAAATATTTTTTTGAATGATACTCCCTCCATTCTTGAATGAATAATAAAATAAGAATTTTTTAAAGGTTAACAAAATACTAATTTTTTAAATTTTACTTTTCCTATAAAAAAATTTTTAAAATACATCATTTTCTTTTTTTCGTAAATGAATCAGTTTTTTTCTAAAATTTTTTTAACTTTCCTCTCTTTAAAATTTTTTATATAACTCTTTATTTAACTACCCTACTAACATAAATTTAAAAAAACGTTGCAAAATTATTTTTTTGTCAATAACTCTATCAGTTTTTTTAAAGATTGTTTTATAATCTTTGGTTAATTTGTTTAATTTAAAAATAGAAAAAAGTGTTATTGATAGAAAAATTGATTAATATTTATTTAATCTAAAAAATTTGTTTACTATATTACGTATATTTTTAATTAAGTAAAGATATTCTTTGAAGTTTTTTTTCTATTTTTTTTAAATTTTTACGTAGTTATTTACTATAAGTTGCCAAAAATATTTTAAATTTATTTTTGCATTTTTTAGTTAAATATTAAGGGCAGTATGGGTAGTTATTTATTTTTAAAATTTATTTTTTTCGGAGGTTTCAATTAAAAATATAAGGGCAATCGTGGGTACTTATTGACATACAACCTTTGAGCAGTTCTCTTGACCTCCCAACTCTTGACAGCCGTTGGGAGGAGGGGTTGTCAGTTCAACGTCATTTCCGCTATTTGGTATTTTAATGGTTTTTGAGGGGTTGGCAGTTATTTTTGGATTAATTTTATGTTCTCTCAAAAAATTTCAGAATTATTATTTCTGATAAAATCACACACAACTCTCCTTCAAATTTATTTTTCTTAATAAATAATGTCCTTCAAAACATTTTTGGACAATAATAAAACAAGTAAATAAATAAACCCGATTGACAAAAAAATTAATTTTTTTTTGCGATTTCCATTTATATATTTTATATACCTTTTTTCTTTAAATGGCCAGTAGGGGGAGAAGCTATTTATTTTTATTCTCTCTTTGTGCTAATTGAATTGCTTGTTTTTATAAGAGGGAGAAGAAGAAGCATGAGGCCGGTCACTTTTTTTAATAACAAAACAAAACTTGTTGTGTTGGCCTTTTTATTTTTTTTTATTCTTCAAAAATATCCATAAAATTTAAGGGGGAAAATAAATTAATTAAGAAGAAAATATGCTTCTTTCCTTTGGCCTTGTGCCTTTTTGAAAAAAAATTTTTTTTCGAAAAAAATTTTTCCAACAAAAAAAATTTTGATAAGCCTGCTATTGTTTTGTCTTTCACTTATCTTTCTTTGTTTATTTATTTTAAAAATATTTTCATAATTGTCAAAAATTTTTTTTCAGAAAATTATGTTACTCGGTCCTTTAAACAAAAATGTTGCTTCTTCCTCCAATTATTACAATTCTTTTGCATTTCCATACACAACAACTGAAACAACACAACAACAAGCTCCTGTAGCTCTCATCAATTTTAGAGTAAAAAAATTTTTGTTGTAATTTTTTTGAAATGTTTTGAAATTTTTTAGTTGTTGCTTCCTTTGTTGCCTTTTCCCTTGTTGTTGTTAGTTTTATTGGTTATTTTGCCTGGAATTCGAGAACAACGATTAATTTCTTTGTTAGCTATTGGATCACAATTGTGTGTTGGGACTTTACTTATTGGTTGGTATTTTTTGAAAAATTAAAAGATTCTTTTTTTGGAGAAAAACTCAAATTTTCTGGAAAATTAATTTTTGAATTTTAATTTTTTTGAAAATTTTTTTCATTAATTTTTCAAAGGTTCAATAACTCTTCCATACTGGAAATTGTCAGAAACAAGAGAAATTCTTGTACATTTACAACCATTTTCCAAACAACGTCATTTACTCAATATTGGAGTTAATGTTGGTTTAAGTGCTTTAAATATTTCTCTTGATTGTAAGTTTTTTTGTTAAAATTTTTTTTTAATATTTTTTTAAAAAAGATGTAAAGCCGTTTGATGGACGTTTACCTCATCCAAGGTTTTATTTTTTGTTAAAATATTTTCTTAAAAATTTTTTTCTTAAAATAGATCCTTGGCAAGTTTACACTTAAATGAACAATTTGATCTGTCTGGCGTTTCTTCAATGAAAACTGAGTTGTTTAAAGCTTATAAAGAAGGACAACCATTTCCTGTTTTGTGTGTTTTGGAGGTTTTTTAAAATTTTTAAAAATAAATTTCCTTTTCTATTTTAGTATTTTTCATTGGGTCAAGATGCTTTTTCTTGGGGAAATCAATTTAGAAAAGCTGGGTATTATACAAAAGCTTTACTTTGGTATATTTTATTTTTTAGAAAAAATCGAAAAAAAATTTTAAAAATTTCCGAGAAAAAGTTTTTGAATTTTTCGAAATTTTTTTTTGAAAATTTTTAATAAAAAAAAATTTAAAAAAAAATTTTTTTCAAGGTTTACTTTTGGATGTTGGTTATTACAATTTATTTTACTTCCATTTCTTCCACATTATTTTGCTAAAACTGGACTTTTAATTGGTTTTTTAATTCTATTGTCTAACATGGTTATTTTTAAATAATTTTTTTACTTAATATAAAATTTAAATAAAAGCTTTATATTTTACTTTCTCCAAATGATTTACATATTGCATTTCCTTCACCAAATGGTCATTCCAACTTTACACAATTTCGGTTAATTTTTAATAAAAACTCCAAAATTCTGAAAAATAATTTAAGAATTCAGATTTGGAATTTGTTTTTGGATGAATGTTATTGCTGGTAAAAATTTTTGTTTTTATATAAACATGTTTCGCAAACTTGTAGTTGCAAACTTAAGATTACAATTCAAATAGAAAAAATTTTTTTTAAAAATCAGAATTAAATTCGAACATTTTTAGCAAATTTAAAGTTTTTGGAAAATCAGAATTAAATTGTCAACATTTTAAAAATCAGAATTAAATTCAAACAAATGT